AGAGTGCCACAAGATGAGAGTGCAACGAAGTGAGAGTGCCACAAGGTGAGAGTGCCACAAGGTAAAATTTCCAAAAGGCGAGACTGCCACAAAGCGAGTGCCAAAAGGTGAGAGTGCCACAAGGTGAGAGTGCCACAAGGCGAGAGTGCCACAAAGCGAGAGTGCCACAAGGTGAGAGTTCTACAAGGCTAGAGTGCCACAAGGTGAGACTGCCACAAGGCAAGAGTGCCACAAGGTGACAGTTCCACAAGGTGAGAGTGCCACAAGGTGAGAGTGCCACAAGGTGAGAGTACCACAAGGTGAGAGTGCCACAGGGTGAGAGTGCCACAAGGTGAGAGTGCCAGCGCTACACTCGTGGATAAGACCAGAAAAAATTCTCAATAAAATACTGTCAACAAACTCCCTAAAAATTCTTGTTTATCAGATTATGAACCAAAACTTGTTGTTGTTGTTGTTGTCGTCGTCGTTGTTGTTGTTGTTGTTGTTATTGTTATCGTTGTTGTTGTTGTTTTTGTTGTTGTTATCGTTGTTGTTGTTGTTGTCGTCGTCGTTGTTGTTGTTGTTGTTGTTGTTATCGTTGTTGTCGTTGTTGTTGTTGTCGTTGTTGTTGCTGTTGTTGTCGTTGTTGTTGTCGTTGTTGTTGTTGTCGTTGTTGTTATCGTTGTTGTTGTTGTCGTTGTTGTTATTGTCGTTGTTGTTATTGTCTTTGTTGTTGTTATTGTTGTTGTTGTTGTTGTCGTGTTGTTGTTGTTGTTGTTATTGTCGTTGTTGTCGTTGTTGTCGTTGTTGTTGTCGTTGTTGTTGTTGTCGTTGTTGTTATTGCCGTTGTTGTTGTCGTTGTTGTTGTCGTTGTTGTTGTTGTTGTCGTTGTTGTTGTTGTTGTTGTTGTCGTTGTTGATGTTGTTGTTGCTGTTGTTATTGTCGTTGTTGTTGTCGTTGTTGTTGTCGTTGTTGTTGATGTCGTTGTTGTTATTGTCGTTGTTGTTGTTGTTGTTGTTGTTGTTGTCGTTGTTGTTGTCGTTGTTGTTGTTGTTGTTATTGTCGTTGTTGTCGTTGTTGTTGTTGTCGTTGTTGTTATTGTCGTTGTTGTGGTTGTTGTTGCTGTTGTTGTTGTCGTTGTTGTTGTTGTCGTTGTTGTTGTCGTTGTTGTATTGTCGTTGTTGTTGTTGTCGTTGTCGTTGTTGTTGTCGTTGTTGTTGTTGCCGTTGTTGTTGTCGTTGTTGTTGTTGTTGTCGTTGTTGTTGTTGTTGTTGTCTTTGTTGTTGTCGTTGTTGTTGTTTGTCGTTGTTGTTGTCGTTGTTGTTGTTGTTGTCGTTGTTGTTGTTGTTGACGTTGTTGTCGTTGTTGCTGTTATTGTCGTTGCTGTTGTTGTTGTTGACGTTGTTGTTGTTGTCGTTGTTGCTGTTATTGTCGTTGTTGTTGTTGTTGTTGTTGTTGTTGTCGTTGTTGCTACTGTTGCCATTGTTGTTGTCGTTGTCGTTGTTGTTGTCGTTGTTGCTGTTGTTGTTGTCGTTGTTGTCGTTGTTGCTGTTGTTGTCGTTGTTGTTGTTGTTGTTGTTGTTGTTGTCGTTGTCGTTGTCGTGTTGTTGTTGTTGTTGTTGTTGTTGTTTGTTGTGTCGTGTTGTTGTTGTTGCTGTTGTTGTTGTCGTTGTTGTTGTCGTTGTTGTTGTCGTTGTTGCTGTTGTTGTCTTTATTGTTGTCTTTGTTGTTGTCGTTGTTGTTGTTGTTGTTGTTGTTGTTGTGTGTTGTTGTTGTCGTTGTTGTCGTTGTTGTTGTCGTTGTTGCTGTTGTTTTTGTTGTCGTTGTGTTGTTGTTGTTGTTGTCGCTGTTGTTGTCGTTGTCGTTGTTGTCGTTGTTGTTGTTGTCGTTGTCGTTGTTGTCGTTGTTGTTGTTGTCGTTGTTGTTGTTTTTGTTATCGTTGCTGTTGTTGTTGTTGTTGTTTTTTGTTGTCGTTGTTGTTGTTGTTGTTGTTTTTGTTGTCGTTGTTGTTGTTTGTTGTTTTGTTGTCGTTGTTGTTTTTGTTGTCGTTGTTGTTGTTGTTGTTGTTTTTGTTGTCGTTGTTGTTGTTGTTGTTGTTGTTTTTGTTGTCGTTGTTGTTGTTGTTGTTTTTGTTGTTGTTGTTGTTGTTGTTGTTGTTGTTGTTTTTGTTGTCGTTGTTGTGTTATCTTAAACATTATCGTTAATGTTACGTGCTTGTTAAGGCCGGGGTAGATAAGCCAGTTGTTATCTAGTTATAACTATCTCGTGACCGGTTCTGTGGCACAGTGCCTGTCTGTGTGGCACAGTGCCTGTCTGTGTGGCACAGTGCCTGTCTGTGTGGTACAGTACCTGTATGTGTGGCACAGTGCCTGTCTGTGTGGTATAATTCCTGTCTGTGTGGTACAGTGCCTGTGTGGTATAGTGCCTGTCTGTATGGTACAGTGCCGGTCTGTGTGGCATATTGCCTGTATGTGGTATAGTGTCTGTAGTACAGTGCCTGTGTGGTATAGTTCCTCTCTGTGTGGTACAGTGCCTGTCTGTGTGGTACAGTGCCTGTCTGTGGTATAGTGCCTGTTTGTAGCACAGGGCTTGTCTGTGTGGTATAGTGCCTGTGGTATAGTGCCTGTCTGTAGTACAGTGCCTATCTGTGTGGTATAGTGCTTGTGGTATAGTGCCTGTCTGCAGTACAGTGCCTGTCTGTGTGGTATAGTGCCTGTCTGTAGTACAGTGCCTGTCTGTGTGGTATAGTGCCTGTCTGTAGTACAGTGCCTGTGTGGTATAGTACCTGTCTGTGTGGTATAGTGCCTATCTGCGTGGCATAGTGCCTGTCTGTGTGGTATAGTGCCTGTCTGTAGTACAGTGCCTGTGTGGTATAGTACATGTCTGTGTGGTACAGTGCTTGTGTATGGTACAATGCCTGTTGTCTAGGTGTGTGATGGAGAGGGGGTTGATTGAAGTTGGGTAGTGAAAGGGGGAGTGGAGAGGGAGGATGGGGAGTGGAGAGGGAGGATTGGGAGTGGAGAGGGAGGATGGGGAGTGGAGAGGAGGATGGAGAGTGGGGAGCAGGAAGGAGTAACGGGGTGAGGAAGGACGTGAGGGGTCAAGGATAGATGAAAGCAGAGAGGAAGTGAAAAGGAAGTGTGAGGGGGAAGAGATGAGGGAGATGAGTGATGGCGAGAGATGGAGAGGAAGTGATGGGGAAGGACTGATGGGGAAGAAGGACTGATCGGGAGGGAGGGAGGGGGGGGAATAATGGGAAGGATGAGAGATTGGAAGGAGTGAGGGATAGGAAGAGACGAGGAGAGGAAGGAGAGATGAGGAGGGAGGAAATGATGGGGAGGGAGTGATGGGGAGGGAGTGATGGGGAGGGAGTGATGGGGAGGGAGTGATGGGGAGTGATGGGGAGTGATGGGGAGTGATGGGGAGGGAGTGATGGGGAGGGAGTGATGGGGAGGGAGTGATGGGGAGGGAGGGATGGGGAGGGAGTGATGGGGAGGGAGTGATGGGGAGGGAGTGATGGGGAGGGAGTGATGGGGAGGGAGGGATGGGGAGGGAGTGATGGGGAGGGAGTGATGGGGAGGGAGTAATGGGGAGGGAGGGATGGGGAGGGAGGGATGGGGAGGGAGTGATGGGAGGGAGTGATGGGGAGGGAGTGATGGGGAGGGAGTGATGGGAGGGAGTGATGGGGAGGGAGTGATGGGAGGAGGATGGGAGAGTGATGGGGAGGGAGTGATGGGGAGGGAGTGATGGGGAGGGAGTGATGGGGTAGGGAGGGTGATGGGGAGGGAGTGATGGGGAGGGATGGTGATGGGGAGGGAGTGATGGGGAGGGAGTGATGGGGGAGGGGAGGTGATGGGGAGGGAGTGATGGGGAGGGAGTGATGGGGAGGGAGTGATGGGGAGGGAGTGATGGGGAGGGAGTGATGGGGGAGGGAATGGAGGATGATGGGGAGGGAGTGATGGGGAGGGAGTGATGGGGAGGGAGGTGGGAGTGGAGTATGGGAGGGAGTGATGGGGAGGGAGTGATGGGGAGGTGGGGAGTGATGGGGAGGGAGTGATGGGGAGGGTGATGGGAGGGAGTGAGGGGGAGGGAGTATGGGGAGGGAGTGGATGGGGAGGAGTGATGGGGAGTGATGGGGAGGAGTGATGGGAGGGAGTGAGGGGAGGGGATGGGAGGGAGGATGGGAGGAGTGATGGGGGATGTGGGGATGTGATGTGGGGAGGGAGTGAGGAGTGGGGGGTAGGGAGGGATGATGGGAGGGAGTGATGGGGAGGGAGTGATGGGAGGGAGTGATGGGAGGGAGTGATGGGGAGGGAGTGATGGGGGAGGGAGTGATGGGGAGGAGTGATGGGAGGAGGGAGATCAGGTTATCTGCTACACAAGGGTCATCAGGGCTGCGCGTCACTTGCACACAAGCTCCTTGTGGTTTAGAGCTTCTTTTTTATAATAATAATAATAATAATAATAATAATAATAATAATAATTGTACACCAGCTGTCAAATACGTTTTAATACATAAAGAAATGCGGAAATACATTCTCAGTGAGTATACACTGATATTATATAATATATATATAATATATATATATTATATAATATATATATATATATATATATATATATATATATATATATATATATATATTATATATATATGTGTGTGTGTGTGTGTGTGTGTGTGTGTGTGTGTGTGTGTGTGTGTGTGTGTGTGTGTGTGTATATATATATACACACACAAAACCAGGGTATGTATAATGAGTCAGTGTTGTTGGCCTGTTAATTGACAAAACTTCACCTATGCTGAAGCTTCGGGATCTCTGGAGCTTTAAGCTGTGTCCCCGTTAACTTACTCTTCTCCTTAGCTTTCACAGCTATAAACGTAAGATCCCCATCATTATTTTCATCGCTAGCGAGGGGCTGTCATACTGGTACACATTAATAAGCCTCTGTGCCAACGAGGCGCCGTCCTAGTTCCAACAATATTTACAAAGTGTCGAAGTTGTCCGAGACAGCCAGAGTTGAGCACCACACACAAGGCTGCCCCTTCACCCACACCTTAGTGTCCTCCCACCTGTCTCTCTACCCAGGAGGTATCTCACGGGACTGCTGGAAAAAAAAATACTCATTTCACGTTGTCCCAATTCTGGAGAGACGGATCCGTTGCTAGTGGGATATCTCGTTAGAAAGTGCCCCTCGTGAGGGATACTACAGGAGATTCTCGCCATGGGGTACTCCCGGTGTTTAGCTGTTCGCGAGTTCCTGGCTGTCTGTCTGCTGCTGGTAGGACATTCCGTCTGTCTTGAGGAGACAGCTACGATAGCCAGTGTTGGCGATGTCAGGCAAGTTGTTAGGACTGAATCGCCTGTGACAGATGATCCCGACAGTGAGGACTCTCACGTACCTAACTTTAATAGTAAGTGACTCGGTTTCCTAGTTTCTGTACCTCTGTAATCCTTTTGACTACCGCCGACAGGATAGGTATGGGGTGCTTATTAGAGATTTCAAACTATTAGCGTTTGAAGTTCTAATAGAATATTAAAATTAAATTGCCCATTTGGCGATCTGAAAGGTTTGTATATACAACAGCTCCCAGTTATAGCTTTTAATATAGCCATAATCCACAATTCTAGACTTCAAATGGAAATCTTTTTTTGGGCTGTAGTCAGACGAGGCTAATATTTTCTACTTCAGGGTCATACATCACTGCAATGGAAGTGTTTAGAGCTTCGTTTTAATTATAATACTTGTATTTAAATTTTTCTCCTTTTATTAGATTAGCCTTTTAACTTGTTTACCCCCAGTGTTCAACATTCTTCCTTAGCTCTGTTGCATGTTGTCTGCTTCAGTCTTTCCGGTGGTTGCCAACTTTGTTCGCGCATAGAAACGATACAAATGCAATATAAATACTGCATGTAGTATTTGTATTAAGAGTTGACTTTGGCTAGTTTGTGCACCTCGTGTTAAGGCCCCTCGAAAAGGGGGGAGAGAAAGGGGAGGGGGGGTTAAGTATATCTTTAGATATATTGCATCACTTAGTGTATTTGCCAAAATCTGGAGTAAGCTAAGCCTAACCTAAATTTGTCTTCAGTACGTTAACTAGGATACCTTGTGATGACCTCGTGTACATTATTTATGCAATACCTGTACGTAAAATGAAACTTGACTGTTTCGGTCCCACTTGCACCATTTTTTTATTTTATTTAATACTGTATTACAAGATTCAATATAAAGATACCATGAAATGGTACATGTTATGACCGAACATTCAACACTAGTACTACAACGGTCCACTGAGTGAACATACATACAAAGTTACCTTTAGACAGTCTAACACAACCTACAATCTACCTAGAAACAGTGTTACATAATCACAAAGATCTTCATAATACACTGCTAACACTTACACTTCCAACACTCCCACAACCCCCACCCGCCCCTCTACAAGTTGAAACCCTGGCCACTCTCACCTGGTGAAACACAATAACAATATGTAACATTAAAAAAGTTACCATTGCCAATCTCGCGTGGTTAAACACAATCAGTGTTAAGATAAGATAAGATTTCGTTCGGATTTTTAACCCCGGAGGGTTAGCCACCCAGGATAACCCAAGAAAGTCAGTGCGTCATCGAGGACTGTCTAACTTATTTCCATTGGGGTCCTTAATCTTGTCCCCCCAGGATGCGACCCACACCAGTCGATTAACACCCAGGTACCTATTTGCTGCTAGGTGAACAGGACAATAGGTGTAAGGAAACGTGTCAGAATTTCCACCCGCCGGGAATCGAACCCGGGCCCTCCGTGTGTGAAGCGGGAGCTTTAGCCACCAGACCACCGGGCCATCCTAGCCACTCTCGTGTGGTTAAACATATCAGTATTGAAAATTAAAAGTTATCATGGCCACTCGTGTGGTTAAACACATTATCAATAATTTTTTTTCCGGCAATGAAATGTACCTGGGATTAATGCAACTCAAATTGTAGGTAACACCGAATTCCTGGTGTTAACCAATTACCAACTTTTTTTTATATATTTTATTTAAAACTGTATTACAAGATGCAATATAAAGATACCATGAAATGGTACATGTTATGACCGAACATTCAACACTAGTACTACCACGGTCCACTGAGTGAACGTACTTACAATGTTACCTTAAGATAGCCTAACACATCCTACAATCTACCTAGAAACAGTGTTACATACTCACAAGATCTTCATAATACACTGATGCTAACAGTGACTTCCAACACTCCCACAACCCCCACCCGCCCCTCTACAAGTTGAAACCCTGGCCACTCTCATGTGGTTAAACACAATATCAGTATTAAAAATTAAAAAAAGTTAACCTCATAGCCACTCGCATGTGGTTAAACATATCAATATTTTTTTTATAGCAATGAAATGTACCTGGGATAAATGTAGCTCAAACTGTAGTTGACACTGAATTCCTGGTGTTAACCAATTACCAACTTTTATACCCACTAAGCACTAATTTACTACCACGAAACTGTGCATTGTCACAGCACCTCACAAACAAAAGTTGTACAGCGATCAAGTTTAACTTGGGTGCAAAATAAAACCATACTGCGCTAAACCCGAGATCCCAAGATTTAGTTATCATGGTTTAAAGATTATCCTGTACTCGGGGAACATAACTATAGGTTGTCTAGTTTATTATGTATCTCCTTCCCTCTCACCATTCATAGCCCTCCCACCATTCACACAACAAAGTAGCCTTAACCGACATACCCTCATACATCCCCAGGTAGGAGACCAACCCCTTTGCCCGCCCCCTGGGTTCACGAGAAGGCCACCCACAGTGAGATTCCGGTAACCCTCCGAGAAGCTAGTTACCCACCGCCCCTCAGACTTGCTTATTCCTACACATCGTTCTATAAAACCTCACTGCTAACGCTTTTATTCTCAACTCTCCCCGAACCTCCCTCATCCCCCAAGATGCATGTAAATAATCCGTCATGACATACATTAAAGCCCTACCTACATCACCTGACACCCCAGTTACATCCAACAATAAAGCCCTTAGGAACGCCCATCCCCCCCCCCCCGAAAGACTGATAATGCGCACCATCCATAATCTCACCCCCTCCAAAGAGGGACAAAAAAATACAGCATGAAAAGCTGTTCCGGTGTCCCCACAGTGCAAGCATGAGGCCTCTCTTACAAGACCCATTTTACATAACATATCCTATCCTTAGAGGCCAAAATTCCCATTAGAAAACGATATACTAACTCCCGTACCCCCTCAGGTATTCTAAGCAAGCCAAACTCCCTCCAAATGCTCTTCCAGTCATATGTCTGATATACAGCAAGCCCCTGTAAGACACTCTTACCCACCACAGCACCCACCATCCTTTTGACCTTTAATTTGGACACCTGTCCTACATTCAATGAAACCCTCAACATGTCTTCACAATACCTCAAATCCCTTCCACACCATCTTCGTGCATCCTCCATTACCCTACCCACCCTGACTCCCCGGTCCTCCCCAGTCTGAATATACCTTTGTTTAATATATAAAGCCATTACCCCCACGTCTCGTATCCATCATTACCACGTCCTTGCGCAACCATGCCCTCCCGAACCCCCACACATACCTTAGAACCCTCCTCTGGATTTCCGCAATATCCTGTACTCTTAAAGGGAACACCCCCGCCACCCCCCCACACCTTACTGTAAGCCAGAGAGTTAACCACCAAAACTGTTGTAATGTTACGTCCCTAGCCCTTAAGCCTCCAAGCCTACCCAAAACCTTGCCTGTAACTAATTCTGAATTTACCTTCCTACATTCTTGCACCTCTGTCCACTACTGACCATCCCAACCCCTCCCCCAAGGTCCCACCAATCCAATCCCCCACCTCTAATAGTCTCGACTTCATTAAATTAACTCTCATACCCGTAGCATCCCCAAATATCTGAATGACTCGACCAACCTTCCTTAGATCTTCCTCATGCATTACAAGAACTGTAGTATCATCCACGTACCAACAATACCCCCCACTCCACCCCTAATCGTCCCCTGTCCATTCATCACCTCATCCACTAGCCTATAAAACTGATTCTGCACGCAGGCAAATAGTAACTGAGAGAGTGGACAACCCTGCCTCAAACCTCTCTCCATCAGTACCGGGTCCCCCAACTTACCATTAACCTGTACCCGAACAACCGCTCCCTCGTGGAAGGTTTGCACCCATCTCGCCACCCTCCCCCCCATACCCAACTTCTCCAAACAAACTCTTAAGAAATCCCTGTTCACACAATCATACGCATTAGCCCAATCTAAACCGAGTATTCCCCCTCCGGTGCAGCTCTCGATAAATTCCCTTGTGACTATGCCCATCCCTCGTACTTCTTCCTGGGATGCCATACTGGCCCCCCATGTATCACTGATCCTAGAACCTTCAGTCTATTGCCCAGAATTTTAGCATAAATTTTATAATCGGGGCACATTAAGGATATCGCTCTATAATCACTCGGTACTTTCCCTTCCTTCTTTTTCGGCACTAACACAACGATCCCGGTTTTCTGTGTTTTTTCCCATCCTCCCAATGCTCCACATATAATTCAAGACTTCCACTAAACCATGCCTAATACTCCCAATTAACTCTATAAAAAAAATCATTCGGTATTCCATCTATGCCCGGCGTCTTACCCTGACTCATCCCGTAAACCGCTCGCCTCCACCTCCTCACTAATACTACCCTCCAGCATTTCCTGTTCCTGTTGTCCTAATACAATATTACTCTGCATATCCCCAAATACCTCCTCATTGGCATCTGTTCCTCCTCCATTTCTCCCTAAACCAATAATCTGCATAAACACTAATGCTGTCCGTATCGGTAAGGCCTTGACCCTCCACATAACCTCCCCCCCCAGCAGTGACCACTAGATGCGCTATGGTAGTCACCATTTGCCTTTCCCTAAATTTTCTCAGAACGTAACCTGATGGTTGATCACCCTTTAACACCTCTAACCCCGCTCTAACTCTAATTGCGTTAAACCTTTCATTATGTAACTCTGCAATCAGACACCTTAAACCATCCACATCATCCCCTCTCATACCTTCCCTACCCCCCCCCCCCGGTCATAAAATGCATTCAGTTGTCCCTCCAGGTAGTTTTGCAAACCATACCACCACCGTGCCTGTTCCCTGCCACGTGCCCTGAAAACCCCTGCGATTCCTATCTTAGCCCTCGCCTCCCACCAGTCAAGCAAATCCATCTCACCATCCCAGAAATGTCCACCATTCCTCGAAGGAAGAGCCAACATCCCCCTCCTGCAGAAGCCTCGCATTAAATTTCCAATACCCAGCATATATGCATACTATACCATCCACCTGCAGATCAGCTATCACTGCCCTGTGATCCGAAAAACCGACATCAAAAGCCTTCGCC